GCTCCATAGTGTTTTCCATAGTGGCCGCACCATTTTACATTCCCACTAGCAGTTCCAATTTCTTCACATCCTTACCAACACTTATCTTTTTTCTCTTTGTAATAGCCATCCAACAGGTGTGGTGATATCTCATTGTGGTTTCAATTTTCATTTTCTTCACAATTAATGATATTGAATACCTTTTTATATAATTGTTGGCTATTTGTTTATCTTCTTTGGAGAGATATCTATTCAAGTCCTTCGCACATTTAAAAAATCTGGTTATTTATTTTTTGCTATTGAATTGTAGGAGTTTCTTATATATTTTTAATATTAATTTATCAACAGATATATGGTTGACAAATAATTTTCCCATTCTGTAGGTTGCCTTTTTTTCTGTTGATTGTTTCTTTTGCTGTGCAGAAGCTTCTCAGTTTGATGCAGTCTCACTTGTCTGTTTTTGTCATTTTTGCTGCCTGTCTCCACATGCATCTTTGAAAAAAGAATTAAAAGTCTGATTTTATGTAGCATTATACCATTACCACATTTAAGAAAATTTATAATTCCACAATGCCAGTTATTATTATTTTTTAAAATTTATCTTTATTGTTGAAAGTATCACAGATGTCCCCTTTGTTTGTTTTTTTCCCATTGACCCCCTCCCCCTCACATCTATCCCTCCCCCCAACATCCACCCCTCCCAGGCCTTCCCCACTCTATTGTCTGTGTCCATGGGCTATGCATACATGCATATTAATTACCCCCTCACCTTCCCTCTGAAACACAATGCCATTTAATACCTAGTTCATATTCAATTTTTACCAAATTTCCTAACAAATTATCTTTTAAAAATTGAGGTGAAACTTACATAACACAAAATTAACCATTTTAAAGGGTGCATTTATTTTATTTAGTGACATTTAGTACATTCACAATGTTTTACAAATGTCACTTTTATCAAGTTCTAAAGCATTTTATCACCCCCAAAAGGACATGCAGCATATTAGGCAGTCACCCCTCCAGTCACCAGCATCTACTAGATTTACTTATTCTGGATATTTTATGTAAACAGAATCAGCCAATATGTGACCTTTCATGTTTCCATAAATCATCTTCTAGCTATTTTTTTAGGAAGGAATTTAAAGAAGAATACAAATGAAAACTATTGGTGCAGTGTTTCTTTCCTTAATGATCATTTTGAAATGACAAGATTTCATTTTAATCTCACATCTGCCTGGGTACCCCTCTGTCTCCCACCCAGTTCCAACAAAGAAAAATATCCATGTGGAGAAACACACATTCTGCAACTCAGGCAAAGGGGCTGAGGATTTTGCCCACAACATTTTGTGGCTGTTAGAGATATTTGGAAAGGCTGCCAGGCTGAACTTAGGCCATGAACTAGTCTTCATAGTTACTGTGAAGATGTGGGCTAGTGGAGGGGGAAGTGGTGACACCCACTGGCTGTGATTATAGGCACTGCCCATTCAGGCTAGCCCAGATTGATGTGGGTGGGAGGGATATGTTTGCTTAAAAGGAAACATTGCTCTTCAGAACTAATTCTACATGACCATTCTGAATTATAATTCTATGTGATCAGTCTGAATTAGATATTCTCTTTGCTTCAGTTGCCAAAGGTATATTCTGAAATATTCTTGGCTCTATAAAAGAAAGCACATGTAAGAGCTATTGGAAGAACCACTTCCCCTCTCAACCTGCCTTCATCGTCCGTCTTCTGGTGCCTTCCCAATGTGACTTCCTGTGGTCAACAGCATTTTCAACTGAATCCTTTGGCTGAGCCCCAGCTCAGGATTCACCTGTATTATTTTCACTGGGCATGACAGCTTGAAAGAGTGGCAAGGGGTCCATGGGTTGGGTTAGCATTTAAAATTCTCCTGAGCAACACTCTATGGCTTTAAGTTGATATATGTGGTTTGTAGGCCCAGGGTATATAGCAAGAAAGGCAAATACCTGCTATCATCCCCCCGCCTCCTAGTTCCTCTGCCCATGATAGATGCTATTGGTTGGTTGCAGAATTCTTCCCCATTGAGCTTACACACTGGCCCAGGATATTTCTCAACAAAGGGTTGCAGGGAACCATAGCCAACATAAACTCTGAACATTGCAAATTAAAGTGTATCTCAACAGAAGGGCAAGAGTGTTTATGTTTACTGATTGAACTGCCATCTACAGCAAGTCTTCAAAATGCTAATCCTAGAGCTTGCTGTAGCAAAATTTATAGCAGAATTAATTATGTGAGGAGGTAGTGTATTAATTAATATTCAAAAGTAGCTGAGTAAATTTACATGCCCAAATGCTTCACCCCCTGAAGATCTGATACTGAAAGTGGTATGGTATATCCTTTCTAAAATAAAATTATTATAGGATCTTTTTATTTTTATTTATTAAAATTCTTTAAAATAAGTTTTTATTGTTGAAAGTATTATGTACGTCCTCCCCCCCGCCCCCCATTAACCTCTTCCAGTGCGTTTCCATTCTACCCCCTCTCCCAGGTCCTCACCACCCTATTGTCTGTGTCCACAGGTTATGTATATATGCATACAAGCTAATGCCAATAAACCAATGATTCTCCTTGTGAAAAAAAAATTTACTATAGGATCTTATTATCTGAGGTCTTTCTAAATAACAGTGCAGTGTTACATATCCTGAGAAGCATCGATCAGTGAAGGGGTGGGAGTGGAAAAACCCAAGTGCAAGGTGAAAGAGAAGTGTGGATGGATCTTTTAGGCCAGAATCAATGGAGACCACATTATTCTGCTTCTTGATACTTGTGCCCCAGCCACTAAAGTTTATAGGAGCCTGTTTCCTGATAACTGGAATTTTCATGGGAGCAAGAGCAAAAGTCTGTCACCTGAAGTTAAAAAAAAGTACGTTTTTAGTCTTCCCAGGAGTTCTTTTAGTGTTTCCAAGTTGTGTCTTGGCCTTAGTTGCTGTGTATTTGATATGTAGTTCATGAAGAAGAAATACAAATCTTAATCTGATTGAACCACAGTCTAAATGGACTTTTTTTTTTTGTGAAAAAGCAAAACACTGCTTATTTTTAATCTTTTTTTCTTTTTATTTACTGACATGTAATTTTTCTGCGTTTTACTTATTTTTATAGGCCATTTTTTGACAAAATAGGGTATAAGTAAAATATTTATCAGTAGTAATAACAGCAATAATAAGGTACTATTTTATGAATGCTTATTTTGGAGTCTGTTCTTAGTGCTTACCAATACTGTTTTATTCTGCCCACAGTTGTGTGAGGAAGGTATTTTTATTCCCATGTTATACAAGAGAGAAACTGAATCTCAGAGCAGTTAAGTACTTGGTAAGCAACTGATTAGAGATTTGAATGCAGATCCTTCTGACTTGAAAGCCCGAATCCTTTAACTGTTGCACTGGACTTCTCTATATGCAGAGCCATGAATGTTTGTCATTTTGTTTTCCTTCAAGTGCTTCCTGGATCAGTGTAAGCAGTGTGCTTATTTCTCTGAATCTTTTACTGAGAGATGAATCCCATTGGTTTCACCAAAATTAGTTTTTGATATATGCTCTGGCTCTGGTGTAAGACATTCTGTACTATGATTTCTAGATATTATTATGTTAAAATAAACTTAGGGCAGTAATTTATCTGATTCTACTATTTGCTAAAAAAGTTTACATCTAAGTTTTGCTTAATATAAAAAAAGGCCATAGTAAAAGCACTCAACCCTGACCTGACCAATGCCAGGAAGAGTAACAAAATAATTGGTGTATTTACATTTTCACATCGTCCACTAGCCACTTTGTTTTATATGGCCAGCAGATGTTGGGACTTAGAGCACCTGCTAAGACAAGTTGGTTCTTTATGGCTGAAGCCTGGTCCCGTGTCTGTGAGAGTTTATGTCCCCCCTGCTGGCTTGCTGGGGCCCAGTGATCTGTGCTCTTGGTTCATTAGTGCAGCCAGAGTCTGCGGTGGGTCTTGGATGCTCCTTTCAAGAGGATCTGCTGGGCCTGCTTTGATAGCGCAGCCAAGCAACTGCTGGTTGCAATGTCAAAAATGCCAGAGGCTTCTTTTCTGTGTAGAAAAATCATCTGAAAGCCCAACAGCAAGAGAAAAGCACACATTTTCTTGCCATAAAACCTAAAAACAAGTTTGGGAAAGAAGGCTGAGACAACACATGCTCCCTACTTTGGTCTGCTGTTGCCTAGATGAATGCACCTGCATTTGGAAAAACTGCCTCTTCACTTTGTCCCTCATTGAAGACAATTTGGAGACAGGCTTACAATGCCTTGTGAGAGATATGCCAACCTATTCAGTTTTCCTCCATTAGAAGCCGTGTTGGAGAAGCAAATAAGGCCACATCTACTTGTGAAAATGCAAAGAAAATCCAAGACAATATCTGAGTTGCAAGTGACCTTTCCCCACTTTGAATATTAGGGAAGATTGTTTAAATTTTCCACTTTACTTTTCATGTTTATATGAACATTCCCAACTAAAACTAATAATTTCATCCGAATGATCATATTCACTGTCTGTTTCCCTTTTCGCTTAAGAAGGCTTTACATGAAATGAAGAGATTTTGATTATATGGAGGTGAAGGACTACAGTGAACAAAATTCTAAGAATCCTCTAGACATTGTTTTATTTATAAAAGTCATGAAATTATAAGGTGTGCCCTTAAAATAATTACTAGGAAAAATTTCCCAATTGCGTTTCTCATGTGTTATAGTGTTTTGTGAGATACCTATTTCACTCCTGCCTTTCTACCACATGTGTTCAATGGTATTCGTGGCTAGGCGAGGTGGAGCTGGATAAAAACCTGTGAAAGGGAATGAAGTTGGTGACCCGACCCCTTCTTCCTCCAGACCGCTTAATTTTATCTGCTGAGGCAGTACAGGAGAAACATGTTTGAGCTTGGGGGGACTTCTATCCAAGGTGTAGCCTTTCAGATGAGCACGCCAGTTCTGCGGGACAACAGTGTCAGGAGCGTCTGAAACAGAGAGATCTAATCCTTTTAAAAATTTTATCTAGGGCTTCTGGCATATTCAAAGGAGCTGTTATTTTAAATTCGCCCACCATCTGCATGGCATCCTTCCACCCTACAAGATAAAAAGACGCTTCCACTTGGACAAAAGCTGCTGGTTAAAAGTGTTTCACTTGAGGTTTGTTTGTGTTTTTAAGTGGTAATAGCTTCTTTTCCCCCCTACCCCCACCCCCCTCAGTCTTTTAATCTAAGGGCTAGCCACATTTATGTAGCCCGTCTTTCCTATTCACTAATTCAAGATACAGAATGACAGGGAAGAGTCATATCGTAAAATACCACGAAAGCTTCTACTAGAAGAACCAGGGGGAAAGGAGAGTGAAAGAGACTTATGTTGTTGAATAGCACAAAGGTTCTTTCTGAGGTGGGCTTTCAGCCCCACCACCCATATATTTTCCAAGGACAGTTCTAGTTATAGCAGACCTTGCTAGGAATGGGCAGAAGTGGTCAAAATAATGTGTGACTGCAGGGGTGTTGAGGTAGTTTTTTTCTGAACTTGTGTTTGTAGGAGAGGAAACCCATGAAGATGTTTTAGTTTCTCCTTAAGACAACAGTAGATGATTTTGCAAAATGATCACTGAAACTTCCATTTGCAATGGGATACATAAATTATTAGCATATAGATTTTTGTATTTTTTGGAGGGCAGAGAAGATCTAAGCAGTGGTTAATTCTGTGTTACTACAGTTTCTCTAACAAATAAAAGCAAAACTAATTGCCTTGTTGGAAGCTTTTGGGGCCATGATTAAGGAATTAAGACACTGTTCTTGGAATGACAAGTTCTGGTTCCTAGGCCCTGCTTTGCCACTAACAATAAGTATGTCCAATGCTCAACTTATTCATTACAGAGGTATCACTAATGCATTATTTATTAGAGAAGCTATAGTATACAGCAGTAAAAACAAAAAAAATAAATAAAAACAACCTTGAAACAAAAATCCTAATTCCTTGCACAAACAATAAGTTGGAAAACATAATGGGCTTTGGACAATTTAAAATATATAAAAATCAAATGGCTAATAAACTTAAAATAAAATCAAGCTCCAGTAATTAAATAAAAGCAAATCAGCAAGCTACCATTAGTTTTACTTATCAATTAGGAAAGAGTTTCAAAAATAGTGATGACTATTGTTGTTGGGAGTGTGGCAGAAATTAATATTTATACAACTTTCTGGACTTGGCAATTTAAAGCCTTTTACCACTTAAACCAACAATTTCACTTTCAATATGTATTTCAAAGAAATAGGAATGTGCATAGAAATTTCTGTCTCATGAAAACAATGCTTCTAGTAATAAAATATTGAAAATAGTGCCATAATAGGGGACTAGTTAAATTATTGATTATATATTCAGATTCTGAAATACTATGTAGTTTTTAAGAATTATCTATAATAATAAAAGCATAATATGCTAATTAGACCAGACATCCTTCCGGACCTCCTTCTGATGAAGCCGCAGCGGGCAGGGGCTGAGGCAGAGGCAGCCGACGTGGCAGGGGGCCAAGTCCCTTGCACAAATTTCATGCACCAGGCCTCTAGTATGTAAAATAATATTCAATGCAGTGGAAAAGTTTGTACTACAGTATTATTTGAAAACAAAAGCAGGTTACAAGACAATATCTACAACATGATTCTAATTTTGTAAAAAAATATGCATAAGGTTGAGGGCATATGCTAGGGGTGGGAGTGGCTGGGGAGAGGTCAATGGGGACAAAAGGAGGCATATGTAATACTCTAAACAATAGAGAATTTAAATTAAATAATGCATAAGGAAATTATTAACATGTTAATAGTCACTAACTTTGGGGTACATGGATTACCCATAATTTTGCTTTACGTATTTGTGCTTTTATACATTTTCTAAATATTCTTCAACAAGCACATTATTTATCTTGTAATTTGAATAAGAATAAATAAATACTATGGAAAAATGGTCTTTACGTCTGGTTACCTTTGGCAAATCACTTAAACTTTCTGGACTTGAGATTCTAAAATGAGCCAATTGATTAGATGAGCTTGAGGTTAACTCTGTGAGTCTGAGTTACCAGGCTCTTCAGCAGTAGTAATGTCTTTGCCATTTTGGCTAACAGGTATTGAGGGAGAAGGTAAAAGGCATTATTTATTTTTAATTATTTGGCATATTTCCAAAACATTGAGTCAATTTAATGTAATTACCTTTTCATAATTATAATTTCAGAAGTGCTTCCACTTCAATTTCAACTAATCTTTTCGTCAGCTCCTTATATTCTCTGCCCGTGAGCTTGGGGGTGTACAGGATCGTAAACAAACATTTAGGCACATGGATTTCTGCTATTTAAAGAAAACCTGTGGCGAGTACTTATTTGAATCAAATTCTTTGGTAAATTAAGTAATAGCCACCAATGGTCATTCTGGAGTTCCCAGTTTCCCTGAATGGTTCTTGGCCACAAGCCACATGATTTTTTGGGGAAATTCAATGAGAGTAACAAGATGGTATCTGGAATGTGCAGCAAAACCAGTGGTTGTGCTGTTGTGCAGCAGGCTGTTCTGAGGCGGCTCTGTTTCACACGCTGTGGGCAGCTTTGAGGATTAATTACTGGAGTTGTTTTTTATTGTTGTTTTTTTCTTCTGAGACTCAAGCGTATTTTCATTTGCCTTTCTGTATTGCCTGTACCTCTTGAACCATTTTTGGTCTTAGTTCAGTGATGGCTATTATTCTGATGGGTAATGTAATATGTAAAATCTATGTTTCTATCCTGATTGTGACCATAAAATAACTTGTTTTCAATAGTATTAAGAGAGGATAAGGCCCTGCCTGGTTTGGCTCAGTGGATAGAGCATTGGCCTGCGGACTGAAGGGTCCCAGGTTCGATTCCAGTCAGGGGCATGTACTTTGGTTGTGGGCACATCCCCAGTAGGGGGTGTGCAGGAGGCAGCTGATCGATGTTTCTCTCTCATCGATGTTTCTAACTCTCAGTCCCTCTCCCTTCCTCTCTGTAAAAAAATCAATAAAATATATATATAAAAAAGAGAGAATAAGGATAAAATGAATTGTTTTGGGTTAGATTTTTCATTCTTCCTCGTATGCTGTCTGGATTAATTTTATTTTATATTCTGTTAGAAGATATATAGATACACACACACACACACACACAATTTTTATTAATTTTCAGTTAGCCACTTCAGTTTTCACCCTCCATGTTTCTGGACTATTGGTTCTTCAGTTCAAGGTAATATTCTCTGGCACAGAAACCAAGCATGTGTTCTGACATTTCCATTGAAGCATGGAAGAGTGGCTCCTGAGATGCCCTCTTAGAGCACAGGTCCCAGCTGGGGCCAAGGCTGCAAGACAAAACGGTAGCATTTTGATGGAACCAGCACTTCTGCTCTGCATAGTTCCAGGAGCTGAAACCAGTCATCAGCCTCCTACTCTCAGTTACCCCTGACTGACTCACTGGGACTGGGGTGGGGAGGAAGAAGTATAGGAAAATAAAAATCATGCTGTGCTGACTGCAGGATTCTCACAAATGGAATTACTGACTTTGAGGGTAGAATAATGTTAAGAACTATGAAATGTCTAAGATTTTGTTCTATGTACAAGCTAATGTGTTAGCCTGCCATAGTTTCATGGGATGTTGGAGGAGACGTGAGACTACTGGTTTAGAGACAAAAGACTTTACTACTTCAGCAAGCAAGTAGCATGGATTTCATGTTCTTGTTAGTTCCCCTTGACCCCCAAGTCCCATGGGCCATTTGGAGGGGTCCAGATGGATGTTGCTCATGCAATGAGTTTTTGTCACAGCCTAAGAACCCCAGATATTTTGTAATAAGTGCAATCAAACTGCCCAACGTTTGCCCTGTTATATCTTTACTAGTGGCCCTGTGCACGGATTTATGCACATTGAAAGGAAATTAATTAGAAGGTGGTCGGCATGGTGGGACTGGGTGAGATGGGCCAGATATGCACTGGAGCCAACATCCCACAGTTCCTCCCTGGCTGGCCGCACCTGGGGTGGCACCATGGCTCAAAGGGCATCTGTGAAGTAAGCCAGGTCCCTCCAGCAGTTGGGGTTCCTCGACCTGGCCTGTGGGGATAGGGCCAAAACCAGCTCTCCCAAGGTGTCCCTGAGTGCTAGAGGGCACTCCGCAAAGTTGCTGTCGTACAGGGAAAGTGTGCAGTAAACCAGATTCAGGGTCAACAGTGCCCCAGCAACAACATAACCCATGGCCAAAGGTGGAATCGTGCGGTCCCGCGGGGAATCAGACTCCCTCCTCTCTGGTTCTGGGTTGTGTCACCTGAGAACCGCCGCTGCCAAGTCACCGCAGCTCTGCAGCTCCTGCATTGAGCGTCTGCCCCCTATGGTCAGTGCACATCATATGTACCAGCCATTTGGAAGGTTGGATGGTCGGACAGTCGCTTAGCTTTTTACATATATAGATTCTACTGGGCAGTGGGTACACCTGCTCTCATAAGGTCTTTCAGTGTTTTTAGTGCTGCAGAAGTGCCATTCAATTGTTGCTAACAGTTTTCATTTAGAAGTAGAGGCATCACATGTAGATAAAACATTTTCCCCTTGTCCTCAGAAAAAGCTGTGAAGTTACCATGTACCATGCAGATTCTTCAAACTGAGATGTTAAATATTTTAGCTCAATAAATTGGGGGAATCTTTAGCAGGTAGTGAGTTTTCAAATTAGTGGAAATAGTTTTTACTATAATGTAAATTTCATTTGGTTGGTGCTTCACAACTTTCACAGTTCTTGAGAGATGGGTATGTGTATTTTCTCTAAATTTTTGGTGTCATGAGATGGTGAGACCAGACGAAACAAGGAGGAACTTGTATGCTGAGTTCTTCTGGAGAAAAATGTGGAATAGTTGGCTTGACTTTGGCTCAGTGCTACCTAACACACATAATCCTGACTTTGGGAAATGTTTGGCTAACTCGGTGATCATCTTAGATGGGCCATGAATGCCAGGCCAAATCTTCTGAGTGAAGATGGGGGTTTTCTCTGAAAAACATGGGTTGTCACTCTCAGTCATTCTTGGAGAGAAACTATGGCATCTTAGAAGTGGGGAGGGAAAGCAGTACTTTTTCTCAGAAACCAAGCGAGGAGGTAGGGCCAGGACTCTGGGGACAGAGACACCTA